TGGTCTGTTCTTGATCGGGTGGTCAGTTCTTGGTCGGTTCTGGTCTGTTCTTGGTCTGTTCTTGATCTGGTGGTCGGTTCTTGGTCTGTTCTTGGTCTGGTGGTCTGTTCTTGATCTGGTGGTCGGTTCTTGGTCTGTTCTTAGTCTGGTGATCTGTTCTTGGTCTGTTCTTGGTCTGGTGGTCGGTTCTTGGTTTGTTCTTGGTCTGATCGGTCGGTTCTTGGTCTGTTCTTGGTCTGTTCTTAGTCTGGAGGTCGGTTCTTAATCTGTTCTTGATCTGGTGGTCGGTTCTTGGTCTGGTCGATCGATTATTGATGATGTGGAATAGCTGATGTGAAAATTGACTTATTTACTCAATTTATTTTTTTTATGATTTATTTACTTAAAAATATTTTTTACTTAGTCTATTTATACAAAGGGTCGTGGGAGGGGGTCTGGTAATGGAGTAGTGTGATCTACGTTTTTTTCCCCTCAGATAAAAGAAGATTGAATGAACGGTTGAGATTTGGCATTATTGATCAATGGCTGATATTAAAAAGCGTAGTTTTGACATTTTTTAAACAAATTTAACAAAGCTTTGGTGAAACGTGCTTCTGTGATTAGTCCTAATTAATAGGGTGTGATTATAATATTAATAAAATACAAGAAATGTCACTGTAATAAGTATATTTTTTTTAATGAGGTAGTTGAAACTTCTTTTCGGTGACTAAAAAAATAGGAACTTTTTGATGCCAGCAAATAGCAATGCTTTGAAAAACATCTTAATTAATGATGAGTCCTGGTCCATAAAAGACATAACATTCTTTATTGAAAAAAAGAGATAACTACTCTCTTAAATTGTATGAATTTTAGGGTTTGTTCTTTTGAGTGAAAAACTCAAAAAAAAAAATTTTGAGTTATAATTTTATTTAAATTTATATTTTTTAAAATTTAAATTTGAGTTCAAACTCAAGTTTAGGACTAAAACTCGAGTTCAAATTTCTCCTTTAACTCGAGTTCAGAAACTCGAACTCAAATTAATGAACAATATTTTTTTTATTCTTAAAAATGCTATAACTTTTTTGTTTTAATTCTGATTGAGATGATTTTTTTTTTATGCGTTGACAACGAAAAGACGAATAAAACCCGACCCATATACTTGTTAAAATTTTTCATCAGCATTGAGTTTTTATTAAAATATTATCTAAATACAAATTTAAGTTTTGACTCACTCAAACACAAATTTAAAAAGATTCTTATCTCAAACCATAACTCAAATGTATACAACCAAACACAAACTCAAGTTACAAGTTTAACGCAAATTATAACTTAAATTCAACTCAAAAATTATACTCAAGTTAAACTCTAAAAGAACAAGCCCTTAGATTCTTATATTTTATTTTTGATTAATATTTTTGTAATTAAATACAATATTAGTTAAAAATATATTAATAAATTTATATCTATGTATTTTTAAAGATAAATTTAATAAATTTTTCTTCTTTTTATTTTCTTTTATTTTATTAGTATTATTTTATGCGGTCTTTCAGAGTGGTATCTCAGTGATAGTTCGAGCCCCTCGGAATAATTATTCAACTATAGTAGGTGTTTTGATCCTTCTATGAATGATGTCACATAGCTGAGAATTTGACACAAAGATTAGTCAATTATACATAACTACTAACTAGGCCTAAAAATGATCGCCTTTTTGAGTTTGGTATTGTTGGTTGTTGAAGTTTGCGAAGGTGGAATAACAAGCAGTTATACTAGAAATGCAGATTTATCACGAGATATGCCACTGAACATTGATGTTTTCTTGTGCCATCCGGTTATAATGCTCCTCAACAGGTCTGTTTTCTAATATCCCAACTTTTCTTTTCACTTCTTCTGCATAATTTGTGTTAGTTGATTGGTCACATATTTCAATTCACAGTTTGTGCCACTATTCAGTTAATCCTTTGTGGGTGTTGATAAATGAGTATAAATTGTTGAAAGGTTCATATTACGCAAGGAGATCATGTGGGTAAGGATGTGATTGTGTCTTGGGCTATTCCAGATGAAGCTGGCTCAAGTACAGTCTTTTACTGGGCAGAAAATGATGATCGCAAAAACAGTGCTCAAGGCATTGTTTTAACTTACAAATTCTTCAATTATACTTCCGGCTACATCCATCACTGCATCATTTCTGAATTAGAGGTTAGTACTGAAAACTCAGAAATGGTTATTAATCTTAACTTCATTGTTTTGTCTCCGCGTTTAATAGGATCTTTTAGAACTATAAGATTTCTGTTACAAACTGTAGTTTGACACCAAATATTACTATGAAGTTGGGATTGGTTTAGAACTCCTCCAGGTGTTGGCCCTGATGTTCCCTATGCTTTTGGCCTTATTGGTAATGTTCCTATTTCTTATATCCAAATTCATTTGTCCTGAAAGTAGATTTTAATCTCACTTTATGGAGCAATTTGTGCGGGGGATTTGGGTCAAACGCAAGATTCAAATAGAACACTCACGCATTATGAGCTAAACGCTGCAAAAGGACAGACAGTATTGTTTTTAGGGGAGCTCTCTTATTCAGATGACTATCCATTCCATGACAACACTGGGTGGGACACATGGGGAAGATTTATAGAGAAATTCTGCTTACCAACATTGGAGTTGGACGGCGGGAAATCAAGAACTTGATTTTGCTCCTTCAATTGTACGGATCTTGTGACTTCTATTATTTATTCTCTAGATTAGTCACATGCCAATTTTTGATTACTGATCGCTTGTGATTATTACTTGTCAAAAGAAGATTATTGGAGTTTCTTCTTACTCTGCATATGTTTATTTTCTTCTTAATGCCAAAAACTGTGTTTCCTTGCAGGGTGAGGGTGAACCCTTCAAACCTTATAGGAACCGTTTTCATGTTCCGTACAAAACGTCACAAAGTACATCTCCTCTATGGTATTCCATCAAAAGAGCTTCAGCATACATAATAGTCTTGTCCTCTTATTCAGCCTTTGGTAATTATTATTTTCCATCTCCTTTTGCGCTTATAATTTTCTAGGTGACTAATTCACTTCAATAGAAGTAAACGTACCCTGTATGGTACAAAAGAGCGTTAGTAAAAGCTAGCTATTTCAACCAGAAAGAGATAATTGATCATAATGACACCAAAAAGGAGTTTTCAGTGTTATATGTTACTGACAAACTCCAACATTATTGGAGCTTCCGAGAAATTGAGAAAAATGACAAAAATAAATAACTAAAATAAAAGTTTTTTTTTTTTTTTTTCCAAAATAATAATTTGTGAATTGGGTTTTGTAGGTAAACCAACTCCACAATATAAATGGCTTAGGAGAGAGCTTCCTTTAGTGAACAGGACTGAGACTCCATGGCTTATTATTCTCATGCATTGCACTCTATACACTAGCTATGCAAATCATTACATGGAAGGTGAACCCATGTGAGTGATCTTTGAGCCGTGGTTTGTGCGGTACAAAGTCGATGTCGTTTTCTCTGGCCATGTTCATGCCCATGAAATATCGGTGAGTCCTTTGTTTTGATGCAATCAATAACAGCATTAAAAGTCTCCTTATATGCAATGATCCCTCAATAAACCATATTGCAACAAGCTTAAGTTATCATTATACCTTTTATGTAACAGGAACGCGTGACAAAAACTGCATACAGCATTGTCAATGGACAAATAAGCACTTTCAAAAATGACCGATCTGCCCCGGTCCACATAACAATAGGAGATGGAGGGAATCTCAAAGGATTGGTGACCGAGTACGTCCATTTATAATGATATTCCTATCATATTAATCATTGCTATTTCCGACACTATTATTAGTGCTTATTATAACGTTATGATGAGCAGCAATATTCTGAGTGTTGACCTCTTTTATGATAGAACCACAGCCAAGCTACTCAGCATCCAGGGAAGCTAGGTCTGGTCATGGGATTTTGGATGTAAAGAACAAAGTCATGCGTTGTTCAGTTGGCATCGGAATCATGATGGCTATGCAGTTGGAGCCGATTCTTTGTGGCTGCACAATAGATATTGGAGCCCCTCATCTGAAGAAGCTTCACTAGCTTCTATGTAGCACCAATATACTACCAATCTGGTGCTATTAGGAATATGTGTCGTGTGGTGTTTATTTTATTACAAAAGTCGTTGTGTTTAAGAGGAAAATAATATGGTAGAAGTAGTGATTACGTACGGTTCAGATTACCGGCTTAATCTTATAACCAATTACGTAGTATAACTTCGTGCAGTATTAGGCGAATTAGTCAAGTTTAGATTGCATCGTGACAAAGAAGATTAGCCGTACCATGGAAAGTTGTTGCAGCAAACGGGAAGAAATCTTGGCTTATATAATGAGACCAAAGAAAGAGGCGGCCGAACTACATACAAGAATCCAAAATACTATTCCTACGCCAGACTGGTTAGAAAACAAAAAGAAAAAAAGTAAGAAAAAAGAGTATAGAACTCAAAGCGCGCATATTGTAAACACTTGGCCAGAAAAAGGACGAACCCAAGTGAGAACGAACACTCATCCACATCTCTAATACTTCACAAAAATAAGCACACCTTAAGAGATTAGCCCCAAAAAAAAAAAAAAAAAAAAAAAAAAAAAAAAAAAAAAAAAGAGGAGCACACCATCCTACAAATTTCATAAAAATGAGCACACCAACGCTTGGCAGCGATATTTTGTACATCATAACAGTACTCCCCCATCCCAAGAAAACAGAAACCAAAGCAAAAAAGAGAAATAAAGTAGGTACATATATACAAATAATATAATTATGAATAGCCCGATGAACCCATAACGCAGCGTCGCTTAGACACGCTGCCTATATCTATATATACATACTAAACTTATATCTATATATATATATATATATATTCTATATCTATCTACATATTTTAATGTACAGATATATAATACACGAATATATATGTAGAAGCAGAACTTGTATTTTTTTTTTTTTTAAGGAATAAAGTCCAGCTAGGTAGCTAGCTAGGCTTTTCACATGCACCATGGAGACTGCAAGGCTTCCCAGCCACTTCCATCAACAATGTTGCCGGGGAAAATCCCGTGATTCTCCATGATCGGAAAATCGAGCGACAACGCCGCCTCCGCCCATATCGAGTCGTCAAACATCGGCAAGCTGGCGTTCACACTCCCCCACAGCCCATCAATTATCCCCTCCTCAACAGCATCACGTGCTTGCTTATGCACATCACCACCACCACCACCACCACTACTACTGCCTTGATCTATTATTTTCACTCGGCCCTCGAAACCTCCATCAGGATAACACACATGATTATCAGAAACCACTATTGCAGTAGTAGTAGTACCTGAATTGTGCAGAGCCTGAGGGATTTTTGTTTGATTTTCCGGTAATATTGTAGTAGTACTAGCGGCGGAATTTGAGGCATGGTAGTGGGGACTGTCGGTACTATTAATATCCTTGTTATTGTTGTTGGATTGTGATTGTGATTGAGATGATGATGATAAATCTGGCAAGTTGAGCTTGGCGTCGGAGCCGTAGAGTTTGCGGGCGGCAGCGTCATAGGCCATGGCGGCTTCATGGGAGGTGTCGAAAGTGCCTAACCAGAGGCGAGCGCCGCGGTTGGGTTCTCTGATCTCGGCGACCCATTTCCCCCAAGTCCTCTGGCGAACGCCTTTGTAAGTGCACGTAGCGTTCTCAGGACCGCCTTTGCCTCTCATGCAGCCTTTTCTTGAGCTTGCCTGCGCTGGCTTCTTCACCTGTTTCCTCTCCCCAAGACCAATGCCCGACTTCAACATTGTAGCAATCCAAAGATGGTGAGGGGATAATTGTATGCTGATAAATGAATTTTTACAAGTGATAGATAGGGATCATGGGGAAAACAAAGGTAGGCGCTATTTATAGTGACAAATAAGCAGAGAGGTTGAGAGATAGGAGTCAGGAGAGGGCAAGTATAAGGAGTAATGAGATGCACCTGAAACGTGGCTGCTAATAGGGTTGAGCTGATACTTGGCATGAAGAACAGGACAGATCGTGTCCATACCAAAACCTCACTGTTCAATTCTCTTGGACACACTTGGCGACGCCCTTTGTTTGCACTCTAGCTCGGGTGGCAAACAGGGGAGAGCAAACAGTTTATTGTTTCTCTTTCAGCTCTTTGTTTCAGAAAAAATAAATAAATAAAAGGAAGTAATATTATTAATTGTTATTATTTGTACTTGTGAGATTAGAGAGAGAAATCTTTAGGCTTTTGGGATGAAGGAAGGGGGAGTTGTATAATGGTCATTTAGTAGAGAGGGCGGTGACAAAACAGTTGGAGATAAGCCCGTGCGGTAATTCCAAAACAAGCACGTGACAAATAGCAACTCTAACTGATACGTGGGGCTTCCCAGGTCCCATGAAGTGGCGGGGGTTTGGAAGTCCGTGATAGCCAGCCTCAACTTAGCTATTTACCAAAGTTTGTTTTCCAATAAAGATTGGATCGTTTTCTCAATCTTTGCCAATTCTCGAATGACTTCTTTGTGCACACCAAGTTTTTTTTTTTTTCTTTTGTTTTTTTGTTTTTTTGTTTTTTTGTTTTCACGTAACGTAAATGTGAAGCTCTTTTCTTTTTCTCTTCTCTGTTTTGAGATATATATACGTAGAATGAATTTCCAGAAGACCTTTATACTCTAGACACTTGTAACAAGCTTCAAAAGATATGTGGCCAAAGGAGTAAACAAAAATTATATATAAAATGAAAAAAAAAAAAAAAACTGAATTAAATGGTGACATTTTGGTCGCCTAATACAGACCAAGATTACGTGCGCAAAATTTACCTTCCCCGTATCCAGTTCTAGGCAGCCACCAGTTATATAAGCCAGTGACTTCTGCAAATTCGATAGGGACAAAGAACTCTATATTCCCTCATAACGCCTAAAGGAATTGTACAAGTGATACGGACCTAATTATCTATAACACTGTAGAAGAGGCCATGTAAAGCTGTGTTCTAGACTTTCTAGTACGAAGTATCAGTCTCACTGTGTTACAGTCGATTCCAATAGTTCAGTGGAGCTATTGCACTTCCTCAGAGCCGCTCTTATCTCGTTCAACATCTCTTTTATCATGATACCTTTCCTGTAAAAGGTAACAACAAAACTTGGGCATATGCAAGGCCAAAAACTTAACAGGACCAACTAAAGCATACTACAAAGCAACAAGAGCAGCCTATAATAATATGTTGAGCGTCCCAACAACTAATTTGAATGTGAAATATAAAGTCCCCGAAAAATATTTTTTGAACCTAACAATCTTATTAGAATTGCATAAGTGACAATATACGCTGCTTCTCCTCCTCTCTTCTTTGTTCCTTCAATTAAGGATAATAGCTTAAGTTTTATGTTATTATTATTTTTTAAGATTCTACAATCAATTAAGCCTATTTCCTACAGTTATTGTTAGATAAACTAACTGGTATGAGTCATATGTATGACAGGTCAAGATATGAAACATATTATTTCAAAAAGACATGAAACTTATTGCTAAAGCAATAAATCACAAAGAACATTCAAGATACAGCAATAAACTTACAGAACACTGACTCCCACAACAGCAAGGGGCAGCGGGTAGTCTTCAATTTGCTTCTCATTCCTGTCTTCATTAAGAGCCGCCAAAGAATCTAAGGCGGCATTTCCATCTTCAGAAGAGAAAGGTTGAACTATATCGCCAGAGCTTATCTCTGGCTCAGAAGGTGTTCTCTCACATCCGATTCTTGATATTTCCTCAGTCAAAGACTGAAGCCTATCCCTTGCCTAAAACATATTTGACGAGAAAATAGGAACCCTAGAGATGAAAAGAATAAACCACAGTAGGAAAAACACATATGCGATTGTCACACTCGCAAAGGGCAAAATAAATTAAATCAAAACACAAACCTCAGGAAGGTCAATTTTATTCAACACCACAATGTATGGCCGTTCGAGATAATTGGGATTATACATACGCAATTCCTGCAAAGAAAGAACCTGCAATTTATATAGAATTCAACACATGATAACTAGCCGCACAGTTCTACCATACATACCTCTTTGACGGTTCTGTAGTCTTGTACAGGATTCTCAGCTGCTGCATCAACAACATGGACCAGTAGTCGAGTTCTCCTCAAATGCCTTAAAAAATTGCGTCCAAGACCCTGAAGGTTCACAGTGTGTAAAGAAATATACAGCATTATAATCAATATCCACGCAAGATAACAAACATTACCTTCCCCAGATGAGCACCTTCTATAAGACCAGGCAAATCTGCTAACGTTGCTTCAGAAGAATACATTCCTGCCCCTAAACTTGGGTCCCCGTCGAGGCGTCCAAGATTTGGCATTAAGGTTGTGAAAGGATAATCGGCAATATCAGGCTTTGCAAGCGTGATGGCTGCCAAAAGAGTTGATTTCCCAGCATTTGGAAGACCCTAGAGTAATAACAAATGATTTATTTTAGCTAACATTTCCATCTCTGTTATCTTAATTATCTCTGTATGAGAAGTCCTTTGCTACTCTGTTATTCAACACATTAAAGTAATACTTACAATCAAACCAACATCAGCAACAACTCGTAGAATCAACTCCAAACTAACCTCCTCTCCAGGTTGACCATGAACTAAGACCTACGACAATCAAACAATGATTAAGAGAGCAATTTATAATTAGAATAACAAGGCACGTCAAGCTTGTGAATGTCATGTGAATTGAATGTTAGGGCAAGTTAAATTTGTTACACCTATAGTAAGTATTAAATTTTTCTTTTTCAATTAAAAGGAAGGAGAAAAATGAAAGTTGTTGCTTTGTCATTTATCTCGTCTTTTCTCTGAAACAAAATGAAAGAACCAAAAAAAAAAAAAAAAAAAAAAAATTAAAAAAGGAAAAATTTTTTAAAAT